TAAAAGATTGAAAACCATAAAGTTAAAAATAATCAGGTTACCTCTTTAAAGTAACAGTCCATTGGTGATTTCGTAATAATTTTTCAGTGAAGTTTTACCATTTGAGCTGTTTACTTGGATTATGTACATTTATCTTATGTATTCCCTACTTAACAGTTTATTTGAGAAGATATACAACATATTTTAAAATTCCAAGATCAAATAGACAAATAAGCACACTAAAACAGGGGAAATCCTAGGGGTGCTACCATACCAGGAAAAGCCTCTCTGAGAGATAACATTTAAGGAGAAGCTTCAAAAAGAGATACAGGCAAGCTTTGTGTGGTTTCAAGGAGGAATGCCCAAAGAGACGGAGGGGATGAAAATTGTAAAGGTGCTAAGGTGAGAACATATTTTGAAGCTTAAAGAGTAATAAAAGGACAATGTGCCTAGAAGACAATGTCCATGGGGAAAGTGTTAGGAAGGGAAGTTCCAATATGTGATGACGTAGGGTCGTGTAGACTAAAGGAGAGATTCGGTTATATTTCTATGAATGGGAAGCCAGATGGAAATCTGAATCAGGCAAAGTGATGATGAGACATGGGTTTAAAAATAATGATTCTGAGTCCTGGGTAGGAAACAGAGAGTAGAAGACAGAAGAGTAACACAGAAGCAGAGAAACTGCTTAGGAGGCATATCACCCACTATGCCACAATTCCCTTTTGAAAACATCAAGATGATGTTTCTCAGATTGCATTTCCACTACCATACTTACAGCACTTAGAATGATTCCAAATGTTTTCCACTGCTTGAGAGATACTAACCTTCCCAACTGACCTTCCATTTTCACTTGTAAACAGATTTCTTAATAACAAAATTCCAATTAAAAGCCAAACATATGACTTATATTAAAATATGACATAAAGATTTTCAAATTTTTGTAAATTTAATGGCATTAACTTTCAATCACTCACATAACACTTTCAAAAATCTTTCATGAATTCGACATGTGTAGGCCATAAACCTACTTTTGTTGTTGGAATCTTTATGTTTTTTTGTTTTCCAGATATAAAGATAATGCTATGAAATTATCAAGAATTCAACATGATCAGCTAACAAAGCCCCTGGACCGAGCAGTCTTCTGGATCGAGTATGTCATGCGCCACAAAGGAGCCAAACATCTTCGGGTTGCAGCCCACGACCTCACCTGGTTCCAGTACCACTCTTTGGATGTGGTTGGGTTCCTGCTGGCCTGTATGGCAACTGCTATATTCATCGTAACAAAATGTTGTCTGTTTTTTTGCCGGTTATTTACTACAGCAGGAAAGAAGAAAAAAACGGAGTAATTAGATCTAGACCTGATCATGCCATAATAAAGAGGAGTCCCATGGAAGAAGGCGACCCAAGTCCCGGTGGACGTGCCAGCCTTTAGGTGCTCTAATGTACCTGTTGAAGAACAGGGAAAAATGAAAATATTTATCTTTTCACTGATCTTTCTTTAGTTAATTTGTTCTGCATATCAGATGGAGATACAAGTCCTTAGTGACGATTTCCCTGGATTATTTTCTCTTCTCCTGATCTGTCTCACGGCTGGGTTTGTCATCCTAGACCTCAGTTGGTGAGTCATCTATGATGTCTGAATTTGCAGAAGATGGTTTCTCGGATCACCTACAGGGTGTAATAAATAGTTCCACACTCAGAGAAGTCATGTCTTCTTCTTGCCCCTCCCACTATCTGATGTTACGTACCAGGTGACAGCAAGGACCCACAATCATACTAGTGTCTTAGACACGAAGTGAGGTAAAATCTCTCTTATCATGTATCATCCATATCACCTTGTCAATCCTCATGTTTGCAGTTGTTCCTTATGCCATTCATCAACTGGTCAGTAGTGGCATTCTCTGTTTTTATAAATCTACTGCCAAAGCTTTGCAATTACATAAATAAATATAAACCTTCCATCTTTTTACATCACCCCAATTCCACAAGAAGTAGGTCGATGACTATGTCACCCCTCTTCCCATAGATACGGAAGGGTAAAATTGGGAGTGGGGAATATGTAACAGTGAAAGACCGAGAAAAGTTGAAATGTATTGCAAGGTATCTCTTTAAAATCTCCCCCACTCTTTTTGAGAATTAAAACCTCCATGCCTGTGCCAGGCCAGTGGTCAGGAGGGGCAGAGAAGTGTCCTTTGGTCTTTGTACCACAGGACATGGCTCAATGGAACTGTCCATGCAGCGGTCATGAGATTGTCTTTGCTGGAAATGGCATTGATCAGAACCATCAACTATAGTTAAATAGCAATACCTTGAAGCTGAATACCCTTCCTTTAAAAGCTCTGTATCTTTGCTCTATTTGCAAATTATATGCATACTGAGAAACTATTATAAAATATATTTCAAAAAACACAATTCAATAGGCAAATAAGCAAATCAAAAATGGTCTAAGGATTTGAATAAAAATTTCTGTCAAGAAAAAATATGCAACAGTTGAAAAGCACAGAAAAAAGGTTCAACTCCTTTAGAAAATATGAGGTATCACTTTACTCCCACTCGCTATAATCAAAAGATCTATAACAAAAAATTCTTGCAAGGAGGTGGAGAAATTGAACGCCTCATGCTTTGCTCGTGGGAATGGAAAATGGTACAGCCACTGTGGAAAACATTCTAGCGATTCCTGGAAATGGTGAACATACAGGTAGCTTATGACCCAGTAATTCTACTTCTAGGCATATACACAAGAGAAATCAAAATATGTACACACAAAGCCTGTACATGAATGTTAATAAGCAATAAGAAACACTATAACAATGTTAACAAAAAATAAATAACATTCAAATTTATTAAAAGTATTAACACAAGAGTCTATGTTAATAATACATTGATAATTTTGGCTTTTATGAAAGTCAAATATTGAACAAAATCAATGTCCACCAATTGTTAAATGAATAAATAAAATGTTTATATCTATATGTTAGAATATTATTTCACAATATAAAGGAAAGAAGTCCCTATATAAGGGATACCATGCATGATCCTTTTTAAACATTATTCTAAGTGAAAAATGCAACTCATGAGGGACCACATGGTTATGATCCCATTTATCAAATTGTACAAAAATGAAAATTTATACATACAGAAAATAGATTATTGGTTGCTAAGGACAGGGAGGATGGAGAAACGTCGGGTGGGAAGATAAAAGCTCAAGGGCACAGGGATTCTTTTAGGGAGATGAAACTCTTTGCTGTAGTGGATGTGCAGTTCTATGAACACACTTAGGAAACATTAAATTTTAAACAATAATGGTGAATCATATGGGATATACATTACCTATCAACAAAGTTTTACTAAAACAAATCTTCGAGCAATGATATTCAAGAAATATTGACTCAGCTACACAATTGCTTTATTTCTACTTCTGTGTCAGGGCACTGCACACCAAGGAGCCTCTCACTTGCCATAATTTTTGACCCTATTCTAAAATATATTACATACAGGGGTAGGAGCCAAGATGGCGGATGAGAAAAGCTGCCAGTGAGAATGTCTTTGCAAAAAAGACAAATTTTCGAAGAAAGAGAAAAAAATAAACTAGCAGAGAAACATAGATCGGGTTAGGGTCAGAAGGAAGGGTGCCTGAAACTACAGGAGACTCCACGGCAGGATGTTGCAGAGGAGAACTGGAAGGAGAAAGGTCCCCCAGAGTCTTGGAGACCAGCGACAAGGGTAGGTGGAGCAGATAACATTCCCTTCCCTTGCATCTTGGACTGTTGGTGGGCTCCTGAGCTGTGGGAGAGACCTACCCACACCAGCCGAGAGACGGCTGCCACCAGTGAGCAGTGTCCTCTTGTGGATTCGGCACCATGCTCCCAGCTCCCTTGGGCACCTCCCCGGGCGCACACCCAAGCCTATCAGCAGATGCCATATTGCTCCATTCTCTCCTTGCCCTTCCCTAGCCATAGGTGCCCAGAGAGACAATTTAGCCATCACACGGAGGCAGATCTAAGGAAAGGTTATCTCCTTTTGGGGCCCTACAGCAGACTGAGGAGTACTGAGACTGCGAGCTCCCTACCCGCCAGCCCTCCTAGGCGCTGCTTGCCTGGGAACTCCAGGAGAGCGGGGCAAATACCGAGGTGGAGTGAAATCGATCCAGCTTGGGCATCCTGTAGGTGATTTCACACCAGCTACACTCCCCCGGGCAGGGTCAGGGATTGATCTCCAGGGCCCAAGGGACAGGCCTGCAGACCAGACCCCATATACCCAGGTCACAATCGCACTGTCCCAGGGCACAGAAGGAAGATCTGTGAAAGAGCCTACTGAGGGGTGTGTGCCTTCTGGGGCAGATCAGCATGCCTGAGTGGCAACCCTCCTCCCAAAACAGGTCTGTGCACCCAGCTCAGGCTGCAATCCTAGGTAGGGAACCTCCCAGCCCACCTCACATCCAGGGGAGATCCATTGGCCTGAGGTCTCACTTGCTGGCAGAGGCCTGGCAGAGGCCAGAGAGAGGGGGAACATGGAGGGGAGTGAGACCTGCTCCAGAGCGTGGGTCTCGGACAGTCCCACCCACCAAGCCCAGATTTTCAGGTGAGTGGAGCCATTTCAGCCACTCCCGGGACTTTGCACGGAAACAAAGAACAGACCTTTGACCCCTGCTAACAGCAGTTGTGGAGTCTGAGGGCAGGCTTACCGAACCGAGACCTGCCCAGACTCGCGCCCAGTCCTGCACCCACTGAGGTGAGAATAAGGACACACCTGGAAATCCCAGGGCCCCACCCACCACCTGAGGCACAAGAGGGCCTCTCTAGAGGAACAAGAGCTGGCTACAGAATCCAAAAACAGCATTCCAGCTTGCTTCTCCCTGCAAGTGCCACCTACTAACAGGGAGGTCATTCTGAACACCCTTTTACTGCATCTACTGATTCATCATAAACGGTGTGGTCGAATATCACCCACAAACACCACCTACTGGCTCAGAGACTAAACAGAGTGTGTCAATATCCAAATGAATATCTACAGGCAAGAAGGACAATTGACCTATATGGAAAGGAACTAGCGAAAGAAATCTGGAAGTATGAAGACTCAAAAAGAAAGCACACCCCCAAAGAGGAAAAACAGCTCCCCAGCAATGGACATTAACCAAACTCAGAACACTAAAATGACAGAAGAAGAATTTCAAACATGGATTGTAAGGAAACTCAATGATATGCAAGAAAAAATGGATCATCAACACAAAGAAACCACAAAAAAAATCCAAGACTTGTAAGAAAAATTCACTAAAGAAATTGAAGTATTAAAGAAAAATCAAACCGAGCTCCTGGAAATGAAGGACTTATTCAGGGAACTACAAAACACAGTAGAAAGCCTCAAGAACAGGGGAGATCAAACAGAAGAAAGAATCTCAGAGATTGAACACAATTCCTTCCAATTAATTAAGTGAGTCACAGAGATCGAGCAGAAAATTAAGAGAAAAGAAATAAGCCTACAAGAAATATGGGATTATGTGAAAAAAATCGAACCTGAGGGTGATAGGGGTTCCAGAAGGTGAAGAAGAAAACACTCAAGTGCTGGATAAGCTATTTGAAGAATTATTAGAGGAGAATTTCCCAGGCCTTGCTAAAAATCTGGATATACAAGTACAAGAAGCTCAACGGACCCCAGGGAGATTCAACTCAAATAGAAAGTCACCACATCATGGAATCATCAGATTGATCAAAATATCCACTAAAGAGGCCCTTCTATGAGCTGTAAGGCAAAAGAAACAAGTAGCATACAAAGGAAATAAGATCAGAATAACTCCAGATTTCTCAACTGAAACCCTACAAGCAAGAGGAGACTGGGGCCCCATTCTCACTCTTCTGAAACAGAATAGTGCCCATTCTGGAATCTTGTACCCTACAAAACGAAGTTTCATATATAAAGGAGAAACAAAGACATTCTCAGATAAGCAAAGACTGAGGGAATTCATCAGGACAACACCAACTCTCCAAGAAGTACTCAATACAGAATTACACAAGGATCAGCACAATAAACACTCTCGAATGTAAAACCACTCAGAAGTTAAAGATCAAAGGGTAGATTCCATAATGGCTCAAGACAGAAAACAAAGCAACAAAATAGGACCCAACAGAATCAACAGTAATTCACCCCACTTATTGATTCTCTCAATAAATGTGAATGGTTTGAACTCCCCTCTCAAGAGACATAGACTGGCCGAATGGATAAAAAAAAAACAAGCCAAACATCCGCTGTCTCCAAGAAACGCATATAACCTGCAAGGATGCATTTAGGCTCAAAGTAAAGGGGTGGAAAACAATATTTCAAGCAAATGGAAGCCAAAAGAAGGCAGATGTGGCAGTTTTGATCTCAGACAACTTGGTTTTTAAATCAACAAAAGCAATGAAAGACAAAGGGGGTCACTATATAATGGTGAAGGGTACAGTTCAACAAGAAGACATAACAATTCTAAATATGTATGCACACAACTTAGGTGCACCCAGATTCATAAAGCAAACTGTACTTGATCTAAACAGATTGATAGACAGCAACACCATTATAGTGGGAGACTTCAACCCCCCACTGACAGCACAGGACAGATCCTACAAGCAGAAAGTTAACAAAGAAATAATGGACTTAAACAGAACTCTAGAACAAATGGGCTTGACTGACATTTACAGGACATTCTACCCAAACACCACTGAATACATGTTCTTGTCATCAGC